GCTGTGGCCAGCCTGCAAACAGCCATCAGCCCCTCACCCAGGATGGCCACACCCACCTTCATGGGGTGAGGGTCCCCACTGGGGGGCTTGGCCAGACTACAAACAGCCATCAGCCCCTCACCCAGGATGGCCACACCCACCTTCATGGGGTGAGGGTCCCCACTGGGGGGCTTGGCCAGACTACAAACAGCCATCAGCCCCTCACCCAGGATGGCCACACCCACCTTCATGGGGTGAGGGTCCCCACTGGGGGGCTTGGCCAGACTACAAACAGCCATCAGCCCCTCACCCAGACTGGCCAGGCACCCCAGAAGGACCCCCCACCCTGAATGAGGTGTGGCCAACCTGAAAATGGCACTCAGCCCCTCACCCAGGCTGGCCAGGCACCCCAGCGGGACCCCCACCCTGACCCAGGACACCCTTCAGGGCAAACCAGCCAGCCCCCACCCATGCACCAGGCATATAATAAAAGGGTAATATGCAAATTGACCCTAACAGCAGAGTGACTGGGAATGACTGGTCACTATGACACACACTGACCACCAGGGAGCAGATGCTCAATGCAGGAGCTGCCCCCTGGTGATCAATGCACTCCCACAGGAGGAGCTCTGCTCAGCCACAAGCCAGGCTGATGGCTGCCAGCACAGCAGTGATGGTGGTAGCTTCTCCCGCCTCCTCAGCAGCGCTAAGGATGTCCGACTGCAGCTTAGGCCTGGTCCCTGCTGGCAAGTGGACATCCCCTGAGGGCTCCTGGGCTGCCAGAGGGATGTCTGACCGCCAGCTTAGGCCCGATTTTCTGGGGAGCGGGCCTAAGCCAGCAGGTGGACATCCCCCGAGGGGTCCCAGACTGGGAGAGGGCACAGGCCGGGCTGAGGGACCCCCCCCCAGTGCACAAATTTTTGTGCACCGGGCCTCTAGTAAGATTATAAACTAAGGTAAGAAACAGTGAAAAGGTGATGGCTATATATGAAAGAGAAAGTGATCTTGTGCGAATTAGATGATCTTGACTTGGCTTGTGTGCTGGACTCAAAACCTCCTTGGAATGGTTTCTCACAATTGTCACCCCCTCTGTGGATACCATTGAGCATTACTGAAGAAGCACCAGCTCAACCAGCTGATAGCATTTCAAGAGAAGAATGTTCAAGTTCAGTTGTTCCAGAGGCTGCTTACCTACTCCATTTGGCTTTCTTCTCATTCCTCATTGTAGTTGGGTTTTTTAACTACTCTCCTCAGCCACTCTGAAAAGCAGACTTACTTAAAGTCTCCTCAGTCATTATTTTCTTCCCTCAGTCTTCAGTAATCTCTTTTACCCACTGATGCTGGATTAATCTCCTTGAGGCCCACATGTGATCAGAGACCTCAATTCAAATTTTCAATAACTCAGCATAAAGCCTTCCAATGACTAACCCTCCTGTATGTACTTTTGATTCCACCTCCTCTTCTTCTCCCTAAAAATACTATTTCATAAATTTCTCCACCTCTTTCCTACATCATCAGTCTCTTACATTCTTCTGGTTTTTGGAGCTCAGCCTACTGGCCAGATCAAGTCTTCTCATCCCATCCCGGCAAATTTCCCTTCGGTAGTTCTCTGCTATCTTAAATAAAATCCAAACCGCTCAGGAGACTTTGCAAAAAAACTGCGTTTTCTGGTTCCAAAGCCCTTGTCATTGATTAACCGTCTCATCCTGCTTCTTGCTTTTACAATCCAAGCTCTGTTAGGAATGGAAACTTTTCACTACTCAGTCCTGAAAAACAAAAGCTGCTGCCCTTGTTGCTTCCTTGTCCTCCCTTGTGGTTAGGAAGTTACCAAGATCTGTTGGTTCACCTCTGGCTGAATGTCATCTTCTCTGCATCCCTCTGTCCCTGTGCTGCTTGGATTCTAGTCACTACCCTCCGACTATTGCAGTGGCCCCCTCATTACTCTCTCTGCACCTGTTTCTTCACACTCCGCTTTAGGTCCTATTGCTGTTGCAAAAATATTCCTAGAAATAAATCTAATTGTGTCCTGACCATGTACCTTCTCAATCAGGCTATTTAATATTGCCCACTCCCCCGCCCCCCACCCCAACCTAGATACTCTTGACCTCTTTTGCCAGGGTCCTCTTTGTCTTTTATTTTTCTTCCAAAGCATGTATTTTCTAACATACTCTACAGTTTACTTAGTTTTAATGTGTATTGTATGTCCCCCCCCGCCCCCCACTCACTAGTGTAAGCTCCACAGATTGGTATTTTTATATGTTTTGCTTACTGGCATAGCCTAAGCATCTGGTTCATAGTAAGCAGTTAATGCATATTTATTGAATGTAGTAATAATGTCAATTTCCATTTTCTGATTCTCATATTTTCCCCCTGCTTGTGGGATACAAACACCTAATCAAACCTTTCAAAGGTTTGCATGATCTGGTTCTGACTCCTCCAGCTACCACCTTTCCCCATTGGCTCTCCATCTCACCAGCATAATCAATTCACGGTTTACTGTTTCTCGAAGTTCCTAAACATGCTACGTTCTCCCAGCCCTCTCTGTTCCTTTTGGTCTGGGATCCATGTCTCCCCCTTCCCCATGTGGGGATAACAGTTCCTCCTCTTCAAAAATCTAGCCAAATGAGTGCGGCTGGTGAGCATAAACCAGGAGGTCACAATACTATTCCTGGTGAGACACATGCCCTATGTTAACGTAAAAACATTAAAACCTGTAAAGAATTTTTGTGAGTTTATTTGAACCAAACTGTCGACAATTGCCAGGAAGCAGTATCTCAAGGGATTGGGGTAATGCTCCAGAGAATGGCGGGTTTCATCTATTTTTATACATTGCATCAAAGGAGGGGATGTAGGTGGGTTACATGAAATCCATTGGTGATAGATTAGAGAGGTGGGAGAAAGCAAAGCAGGGGAAACCCCTGGGATTGGATAAAAAGTAAAATGATAGACACATACTTATGTGGGTGCAGGATAGTTAACAGTCAACAATTAAGATGATAACAATAACAATGAAGGAATTTGTGGTATCTGTCCTGGCACCCAGGCACATTAGGTTGTGCCCCAAGGGGTCCAGAAAAAGGGAAGTTACCCAGACATTTCAAGGATATGTTATCATAGATGCAAAAAGACAGATAAACTCAGTTAAGATAAAAGTTGGCCTTGTTAGTGAGGATACTGACCTAGGAGGTAACTATCCACCATAACCGCTTTTAAATTTTAATTTTAGACCATCCTTTGTGGTTACTTTAGGTCTCTGAGTTTGCAAGACTGCCATGCAGGCCTTCCCTGAGCTTGTCAGGTTAGCATGTGGCCCCTTTTGTCTACACCAGGTTGTAGGCTCAATCCCCAGTAGGAGGTGTGTGGGAGGCAGCCCATCAGTGATTCAATTCTCATCACTGATCTTTCTATCTCTCTCTCTCCATCTCCCTTCTTCTCTGAAATCAATACAAATATGTATGTTTTACACACTGAGCCTTTTATCTCCACCTCTAGACTCTGCTCAGCCATGTCCCATTCTTCTGTGTGTCTGCCCAATAAATGCTCACAGTGTCTGGCACAGTAGTAAGCAGTTACTTAACACAATGATTCAAAAGAGGAGCTACCAGTGTATTGAGCCATGTAGTCAAAGCTTTTCAGTGCTGTCACCACACATCATGTCCAGATTCTTGCTGCCCTCACCTGCAAACCTGTGCCTCCCCCATGTTCCCTGCTCCCGTGAATGAAGGCTGCCATTCCACTGACCTCCCTCAGGCCATCCAATTAGTCACTAAGTCCTCTGGACCTTGCTTCCCAGACATCTCTCAAATTCATCTACTTCCTTTCAGTCTTGCTGCAAGGAGCCTTTACCAACCTGTCATCATCTGTCACCACAGCACACTGCCTGGCACATGGTGCAGGTTCCATATATGTTTGCTGAATGTATGAATCTCCTGAGTGAGAACCATTTCAAATGGCCTCACGCAGCCTACCAGGCTGTAAGACTGAGCTTCCGAGAACAGCCTGTCCAGGTGATTTTTCTGAAAGACAGTGTTAAAGGTCCAACAGAGGGTTTGGGATTGGCCACAGCTTTAGGTATAATTTGACTTTCTGCAAAGGCGACTCCTTTGTACCCCCTTGATTTTTGTCAAGGAGGTTATTTTTCTCTGATTATTCCTGTCTCAAAAATTCAAGTTGCAGTATATTTACCTCACTGGGATGTGTACATGATCATGTAAGTTGGAAAAGAATTTGTTTCATTCCAAGTTATGAAAGAGGGCAGGATGACTGTGGCCTTAAACGAAGGGCCCCCACTAAGCATTACAGGTTTGAGGGTCCTCAAATGTAAAGTTATTGGGAGTAGTCTAGGTGGTCCCTAAAGTCACTCTCAGCTTTCAATTTCTAAGAATCTTCTTTCAGAAATTAAAGCAGAAACAAAAAGACTAGAGGAGTCAAGGCAATTATAGAATCGAACAAATGGCGAGCGCTCTAAAATCAGTCAGCAACCCTAAGGTGGAGCCACTCAACAGAGTCCAGTGCTTCCGCAGGGCTGGGTGAGCGGGCAGTAGGATAGAGAGCCGTGGGTGGTGGCACGTTGGCACTGGAATAGGCAGTTGATAAATGTTTTCTCCCTCTTTTCTCAGCAGACGGTGTTATAGTGATTGCATCTGCCAAGTCTTATTTGAGAAATTGCTGGGCCAGTAGTTACACTGACTGTCATTTGACTCTTCTGATGCCTCCCTGCCTTGTGGGGAGTGTCTGGAGTGTCAGGAGGGCTCTGCTCCTCCTCCTCCTCCCCCATGTCTGGGTCAAGGTTAGGCAAGTTTGGTTAGGGTCTTTGAATCCCTAGGATTTGGCTGACTGTCCCTGGCCTTTGGAGCGTGTTGGCATGACTTCCATTACAAAAAGACGAAAAGAGAAACGGAACTTCAGTCATGTGGCTTCTGTTATCTGTAACCATGGAAAACGCTGGCCATCTGTGAGGCTCCCATTTTAACACTTTTTTTTCCTCTCTCTATTTTCATCGTTTTCTTGGGAAAAACAAGCTGAGGAAGTGGAGAGGCTGGCGGCGATGCGTTCTGACTCCCTCGTCCCAGGTACCCATACCCCACCCATCCGGAGGAGAAGTAAGTTTGCCAACCTGGGAAGGATTTTCAAGCCTTGGAAATGGAGGAAGAAGAAAAGCGAAAAGTTCAAGCACACATCTGCAGGTAAGATTATTTTTTCCTTCATTTCTCACTGGGCTTTTGTTGACTTCCACTGTGTGTGTTAATTAGGAGACTTTAATTACTGTATAGGCTGTCGGAACCAAAGGAAAAAAATCAAGCCTTAGAATTGCTCTTGTCTCTAATAATTATTCCATATGATTGAGACTGGCTTTTAGATTCTGTGTGTTTTCTTGTGTCTCGGGGGTGGGGGTGTTTTTAAAGAACCACTTTTATATGATCTATAAATATCTGCATTTACACCTCCACCTTTTCTATAATTGAATGATTTCAGTCTAGCATTGACAATCCATTTCTTATTTTTCATCCTTCTTTTCATGGTTCCAGTAAAAATAAACACACAGCAGAAAATAAGTTATATATAGTTGTTGGCAGACAGGATAGGTTATTTCATGGAGGAATTGTCTTGAATAAGTGATTCTTGGGCATGGCAGGAAAACACAGGAGAGTAGAAATGGAGCAGTACTGGTGACAAAGATAACTAGTTTGTAGCCTAGTGGACAGCAAAGGACCTTGTGGCAAGTCAGCATAGCTGAGGGGCTAAGAGCACAGACTCTGGAGTCTGAGTACCTGTGTTCAAGTCCCAGCTCTGATGCTTGGTAGTTACATGGCCTTTGCCCTGTTTATTTAATGCTGTAGCTCAGTTTCCCCATGAATAAAATAGGGGTAGGAATTGTACCTTACATAACTTAAAATGTGGAGAGTTCATGTGGCACACTGGATTTTTTTAAATGAGGAAGTGTGTGCTTGAGAGTAATGTATAAGTGAAGGAGTTCTGATTTCACCTTGTTTTAGAGGAGATGCTAGAAGGGCTGTGTCGATTTTTTGTTTGTTTGTTTTGTTTTGATTTTTCTAATTATGTGCCCAGGTCATCCCAGGCCTACTCCAGCACTTTTATTTCTTTCTTCCTCTACGTTCCAAAAAACTCAACTTGCTCTCTCTCCTCAGAATTGCCACCTCCTCTATTTTTCTGGCCTCTTTCCCTTTTTCTCTCCCCCAAACTAACCACGAAAATAGAAGATGACCTACTTTTTGTACCTGAACACTATTCCACAGATCCAGTCATTTTCCTGCTAATTACTTTGGGGGAATGAAAGAGAATAACAAACATAGGAAAGTTGCAAAAAGTCTTGAATCTTAAACAATCCTCATGGTAGACATCTCCTGTTCATGTTCTGACTCTGTTTCTTAGATGAAAGCCCCAGTGCCCTGCTGCTATATATAACCTGTTAATTCCTGAGATTAGAACGAACTGCTGCATTCCATAAATCTCTATATTCACCTCACTGCATTCTCCAACCTCTTGGTCATTGCACAGATCTGTTAAGGTGTATGTGTAGGTCGTGCATGCCTCCCCAAGCACTATGGAGAGATTTACATGCAGGCGAAAGTCTAAATGGGTGACTCCTGTGAATCCCCTCTTCATGAGGTGACAAAGAAAAGGACACTTAGACCATTGCATTGGAGTGGAGAAATCAAAATGAAATACATTCTTTAAGCAAAGTACAGCGGCATCAAATTACTCATGAATCATTAAAAGTTTGAAAAAAAGCATTCATTTAAAATTCTTTGGGGAGAAAGAATTATAAAACATGTGACAGGCAAAAATGAAACTTTAATCATTCTTATTTTTAACTGTTCTTAGCAAGTTTCTATGATTTCTGTGGCCAAACTAGTTAAACTGACAGCTGAATGTTATGTGTGTGTAGTTGTTGTTTCTCTTTAAGAGACATTTAGGTTCCAAATTAGAGAAGCTGGAGGACATACTATGGAATATACCTGTATCACAATAGATGGATGGGTTCATGATATAACTGAAGCTATTTTGTGGGGTTTTTTTTAAGTCAACAGTTTACACTGTAGTGTTCCTTGTACTTAACTGGATTCAGAAATGTTATGTCTTGTTGTTGGAAAGGAGAGACTTTCTGTGCTAGTTTTTAGCCAAAATGAGAAAACTATTGTCAACATAAGGATGTTTAACATTATAAATTACATATATGTTTAAGCAGTACTTTGAATTACAAACTTCCCTTTGCATGGATAAGAATCAAATATTAAATATACAGGAGGATTGATTGATTGTGAGAATGTTAATTGGTTTGCCAGTTTTAGCTGGAATGCATATATTTGTCTTGGCTGTGTGTGTATGTAATGTCATTTCATATGCACAGTAATGTCCATGACTTTAAATACAAAGAATAAGTCCATATATTGCATTTTATATTATGTATTTGTATTTAAAATTGTATGCTTTTTTAACACATGAAATTACATTAACACAGTGCATGCTTGGCCTGTTATTATTACCACAATGAGTTACATTTATAATTTGCCATAATTCTCTATACTGTAGTTTTACTGTAACTCAATATATGGGACATGTGTTTCAGTATATAAGCAATACCTTCAAATATTGCTTTGCAAGTTGTATAGAAATAAGAAAACTACATTAGAAAATTGTGATCTCAAGATTTTCCTCAATTTTGGCATCAATAGCTACTATATGAAATTTTCAAAGATAGAACTTCATGTCTTGTGCTGCTCATATGCCCCTCCTATTCTCCTATTCTAAGCTGAATGCTAGTGTCCTAAAGGCCTTCAGTATAAGACCCAGGGCTGAGTTCTGCATGGTGGTCAAAGCACTACAGGCAGAGTTCCTCTCAGAAGCATCTCTACATCACCTGTCAGCGTAGGAGAGCAGTAACTCATAAACGTAAAACAACAGGTCCTCAGGGAGATGATCTCCACCTGCTTTTCAACCTGTCCTCAAAGGCTCCGCCCAGGCCCTGGGGAGCAATTAGCCTGATGCCCAGCATCTTTTGTGTTATTGACAATAGGTGTCCACAAAACATCCTTATACCTGCCCCAGGAACAAAACCAGATTATAACATGTGAAATAGAACAGGCAGTGCCTCCTCAAATAGTCATCTGCAGCCAGCTTATCCAAATTTTTTGTAAATAGGACTGTGTTTAGAAAAAAATAGCCCTGGCAGGGATAAGCTGTGAAGATGCCACCAAGTTGTGCTTTTGTTTCCTTTGAGTTGCAGGGGTTGGCCTTGGAAATCTACAATGTACCCAAGTTTCCTTTGTGTGTGTAAGGTTTACTGCATACCTATGGCCTTGAAGAAAAACAATAGCAAAACTCCCTGAGTATCTACCACGTGCTGAAACTGTACCTGGCCCTGGAATGTATCTGTGAGCAAAACTAGACCTTGTTAGTGACCTTGTGGCCTGCACAGTGTTTCTAGAGAGGCAAATGATCAAATCACAAGAAGAAAGCTAGGTCACAGCTATGATAAGGGTAGTGAAAGAAAGATCCTTGGGAGAATGAAAGACTTGACTCAGTCTGAGGCATCAGGGGAACTTCCTCTGAGGGAGGGGTAGGAATTTGTATCCCAAGCAATAGACCAGCATGTGCAGAGTCCTTGCAGTGGAAGAAGCAGATGAACCTTCTGGGAAAGTAGGAAGCACCAGTTGCTGGAGAAGGGAGAGCTGGGAGTGTGGTATGGAATGAGGCTGAGGCTGGAGAGATAAGATTGGACCTTCACTAGACCTGCTTCCTATAGAACAAATTAGACAAGAGTGTGAGTGACTGCAGATAGACCAGTTAGGAGGTCATTGGCAGATGATAGTAAATTGGACTAATATTTGGTGGTAGGAATGGATGGATTTGGGTGCTGTTATAAGGAACAAGTGATTGAACTTGATGACAGGTCAGATGTAGGAGGGAGAAAGAGAAGTGTCACGGTTGACATTCTCATGTTGGTTAAGGGTATGTGGAGGTGGCCTTTCCCAGAATGAGTATTTTGGGAGAGTGACAGGTTTGGAGGAGTGGGGGCAGCGTGGGAGTGAGGGGGAGATAAGATTGCATGTTTTGGTATGTGTTTGAGTTGACCTTGTGATAGCCAAAGTTGGGAGTTGAGTATATGGAAAGCAAAGAAGAGGTCTGTGCCTGATATGTAAATGTTGGGTCATTTGCATACATATGTCAATTAGTGATGACCATGTATGAGATCCTTAGGGAACAAGTATAGAATAGAAAGAGAGTCAAAGTCTAATAGACAAAGGAAGAATATCATTACTAATGACTGGATGGAGGAGGATGAATCTGTAAAGGAGCTATAAGGGCAGGGGCTCCAGAGGTGGAAGGAAAACCAGGAGCATGTGGTGTGATGGAGCCAGGATCGGAAAATGCTGCAAGGAGGGTATAATGAACTGTGTTCAGTGCTATAAAGTCAAGTGATGTATAGAAAATCGCCCATTGACTTTAGTGATTCTGATCCATTAGAGGTCATTGATGATTTAGTAAAAGCTCTCTGGGTGAATTATTTGAGGATAGATGCCAGATTAGTGTGGAATGAGAAATTAGAAGAAAAGGGAAAAATAAGGCTACGTCTTTGACAAGTCTGGCTGTGGAATGGGGAAGAGAGATAGGACGAGGATGGGTGATGGAGAAAACATGTGTGTCTACAGAAGCTCAAATGTGTGATTTGATTGGGAGGGGACTCTCTGTGCCTTCTGATTTGTTGTTGCTCTTTTACGATAAAAGCGACATAATCATGACCAGCCAATGTGAAAGATCCCAGAGAGAAAGGGAGTTAGAAAATGTGTGAGACCAGAGAGATCAGGTAAGGGTGCTGAGAAGTCAGGAGTGGGTGGGATGGAAAGCCCAGCTGAAAGGGTTGGTATCAGAAGTAATGAGCCCCTCCTCCACTGAAATGGAGGGAAGCGGTGGGGCTGGCTGCGGGGAGAGGAGTCAGGAAGTTGGGAGCGACCCTCTCTGGTGGCTGAGTTTCTTCTCTAGGTAATAAGTGAGGTCGTCTCCTCACAAAGAGGAGAGGAGGGGTCATGCAGAGGTAAGCCCATTTCAGGTTGATGGTTATGAATCTTCACAGCACTGCTGACTTATTTCAGCTGCTTTGGCTGTCCAGGTACAGCTATGGAGGAAGCAGGTAAGGTGAGGGCTGGAGTTTTGCCAGATGGGT